GGAGGTCGTGCGCGTTGAGTGATTAACGTCCATAAAACATATCTAGCAACAATGAAAAGGATAGTGTAGATCATTTAATCAGTTGACAAATGACAAAAGACGCAATTTAAAAAGCAAGAAAAGGTTTGCATTTGCGGTGAAATGATATAGCCTACAGATACAATTACAATGGAACATACCATAAATTTCGGCAATGGTACAAACGTGCGGTGTTGGATTATAAAATGTGATTAAGACAAAGACATGCCGTTAAAGTTGTGTTTTTTAATTTCAGCCATTTACACCATATTTTGCTAAATATATTTAAAAGATCATTATGTGTGTATGTATGTTTGTAGGTCGTGTGTTTTTACGTACCTTTTGCTCTGAGCAATTTAGACTACACCTTTTGAGTGCATCTTGCAATTGTGTTTGAATATTTCATTTGGTCTAATCAACAATATAGGACTATTGTGTTAGCAATATATAAATTGCTGTATTAAACAACATGCGTTTAGTTCAAGTGCTTGAAACACCAAAAATATGCTTATCCTAAAAAGCAATATTCGGCAATCTGCACCTGGGTAGCCTTAAAGAACCTTAAAGATTTTGGGAACATTAACTAATCTGGCATCACGTGGCAATTTCACTAATGACTTGATGAATTGTAAGATAGGTGTGTTAGTTTACACGCTTTATAAAAGAGTCATCAGAAAGTAACATTCACATAGCATCATGGGAAAATGTAAAAAAAAAAGACAAATGCAGACTAGGAGAGATGTGTGGGCACATGCAGGGGGAATTGAAGTTCTTGTCAATAAAAGCTGACATTCTAAAACATTCTCAACAGTATTTGTCGCCAGTTTGGTCAAAGCTCTCCATTTCTTTATTTGGAGAGGATACCCTAAAAACCGTCACTGGCTATGGGTCATTTGGACGTACAAGAGAAGAGGTGTCAGGGACCGATTAAATCGGGCAATGGCTTCCAGTAGGCCTACACTTTCACAAACATCTGTACCAAAATTGCTGCAACAAAGTGATGGAACAATGGAAAATAATGGTAAGCTTTTTTTCCCGCATTAATGTTAACTCTGGTTAGTTTGTTTTAAGAAAAATACATATGTTTTCCCTGTGAACTGAAAATACGATTTTCTTACAATCTACCCATTTAACAACAACAAAAGAAATCAAGTGCATATGACATCGTTCATCAATTCATCTTTTACTATGGGTGTATGAATAGGCTTATACAAAATGAATCCACCCATTTCACCTAAACCGCTTTACACAATTTAACATTCAATAAAATCATTACACGTCCCGATAAAAAAAACAAAAAAAAAACATTCCAATTAATTCGACAATCCACTGTGTCTTTAGTTCACACAAAGTTTGTCCTAATTTACTCACCCTCAGGTTGTTTCAACCTTTGTAATGCCCTTTGTTCTGCTGAACAAATGAAAAAATGTTGAAGAAAGTAACGGCGCCCCAAAACTCTTCGGATTCCCACATTCTAAAATATATTTTCGTTTGTGTTTTATTAGGTGTTTTAGACAGGTTTAGAGCAAATTGAGGATGAGCAGACGGGATTTAAATTTTTGATATTGTCATTCACGTTGTGCCGGAACACACATGCTAGCTTATACCAATCACACACAAGCAGACTACTTGATTTGTGTACTTGGGTAAAGTTGGTTTTATATTCGCACATTCACAATATTCACACATTTCCGCGTTCAATAACTTTCTAATTATAAGTGCAATAAAGTTATTTTTTGCATATTCTAATCAGCGACATCGTTGTCAACCTACTACATTATTGATAGCTGATGGCATATTGTTTTGATGGCATATTTACTTGCGATTGTCCACTGAATGTTGTGCGGGAAATTCGTTAGGGACCGTCTAAAAAGTTCTAATTGTTTTTCATTGTGTGCAAACAGACAACTATGCTTTAGCCAACTACAGATGTACCGGCAAATATCACTTACATTATCTAATGCTATAGATTTTCCTTTAGCAACAATAAAAATAGCATTATAACGATGCTGTTTGAAAAGATGTTTAGGAAATTAAAAAGAATGAACATGTACATGAACTGTAATTTGGTAACA